TAAAATCTTTAAATAGATTTTGATTTCAAGAAAGTTCTTTGGTATTTTATAAATGTGTGTTAATATATACCCAAAAGAATACATCAAAATGTATTGTCCCTATTCGCAGTATTTAACAGTATTTAACAGCAATCAGTGCAAAGAAATTGTTCTTTTTTTTCTGTTGAATTGTTCATGCAAGATGCGGTTGATTATGACGTAATTACGTAATAAACCAATCGCCGCATTTGGACCCAAAGTCTCATGGGGAATTTTTATGCTTCTTGTGGAAAATATACTCACTGTTTTGCTCAATTTTTATATTTCATGAACATTTTTTTTTTTTTTTTTACAGAAAGAAAAATATATGTCATGCCAGCTCTAGCTGTTGAGCTTGATGAGCCTCATGAGTATTCTCTCTTCTTATGTTTGTCAAGCCCTTGATGAACCAATGATACAACGAATCACCTCATCAGATAAGAAAAGCCATCCAGATCACTATAATAATCCTTATTATAAATGTTATACAAATTGTCTGAACCCAGTTCATACGTTTCGTTCCCTTTAACTCTCGATTGTTCATGTCTATCACATAATGCGATTGATAACCGGATTTAAGTATAAACATAGATCACAGCTACCAAACACTCCTAATCTTTATATTAAGTAAATTTGCCCATTTCTCTTTGTAGTGTTTTTGTTGACAGTGTTTTTGTCTTTTTTGTCTATTTTTCTATTTGCTATATTGTATAACACTGTCTTTCATTTAGATATTGACTCTTAATCACTTTTCTAATGTATTCTTTGACAAATTGAATTGCAAAAGAAGATTAAAACGTAACAGTCCTAAGCTTGCTGTGTATACTTCTGTGGATAATAATAGACCTCCTTTAATAAGTAATGATTTTTACAACACAAGAATTGAATCTGCCTGTGCTATTATTTTTTGTTCTTACAAAATCTCTGTGTTGATATATAGTTTTTAAATGTTACCAATCATTTTTTTTAAATCACAATATAGTGGAAAAAGCAATTTAACTTTTAAGTCTGGTTGGTTTTTTGAATAGCTAGAATTTTAAATGAAGTTCGAATCGACTAAACAAATATAATGTACAGGTGTAACTGTTAAATGTTATGTATGTTAAAATATTTCATGATATGTTGATAACGAATAATTCTCTAATGGTAGGGTATAAATAAATCGATAAGACAAGACGTATATATACAAAAACAACACATTGAACTGAAAGAAGATAATTTTATATAGCGAGGCGAGGTAAGTATTAAATGTACTAATGAACAATTAAATTACAAACTGACTTCTATTGTCTTTTGAAAAGGATGTGTAAATTTAATATACGTAAATTTGACAACAATAGTGTTATCAAATGATAAAGAAAAATCAACATGACTTTTGTTGTGTGCTTTTGGTGTGGTGTATTGAAATACAGTTTCTATTTCGGTATACGTTATTCTTACACACGAACATGTATGTCAAAAAATGAAAGTAACAATTTAAAATGTGTTGTGTTTGAAGATTTATTATAAATTCATCTTCATCAGGAACCCTCAGACATCTCATGACAACGCTGTATAAATAATTGAGGATCTCTATATTTATTATGTTTATTATGTCACTGAGGAACACCCAAATTAAGTAAGACTGGTTTCTTGTCCTTTGTCTCTTTGGCTTTGACAGGTGATATACTGCGTCACTGAAATACTCGTATGTTGCAGTGGGGGGGGGGGGGGGGGGGGAGGGGGGAGAATAAGCCTACCATTATGGGGTTTATGTCAACTTTGTTAAGGTATTTGCAAGTGGGAACTTTGTTTTTAAATACTGACCCAATTTATGAACGGAGAATTTCTAGGTAAATCCTGTCAGTACCGTCGCACTTTGTATTGAACTACTATCTCTTTAATGTTTATTTTTCACATGACGCCATCTTAACTTCAAAAGAAGGCGTTTCATTTCAGAGAAACCACTATCGTCAAATAACAAGTTACAATTATGAGTACTATCATATTTTGTGTGATTTATAAACGATACGGTTTGGACGATGCACACAATGGAGATGTTTGTTTTAAAGAATTCAATGATTCATTCTTTCACAGACAGACTTAATTAAGCTCTGCTATCATCCATTACCAGCATTATAAACAGTAAATAATTCATCGATTTATTTGTTTTAGTGTTTCTACTCCATGAAAAAATGAATTCACAAAAATACTGAACTCCGAGGAAAATTCAAAACGGAAAGTCCCTAATCAAATGGAAAAATCAACAGCTTAAACACATCAAACGAATGGATAACAACTGTCATATTCCTGACTTGGTACAGGCATTTTCTTATGTAGAAAATGATGGATTGAACCTGGTTTTATAACTAGATAAACCTCTCACTTGTATGACAGTCGAATCAAATTCCATTATAATTGCAACGCTGCGTGAACAAAACAAACAGACAAACTAAGAAAAAAAGTAAAAAATAGGGGTACAGCAGTCAACATTGTGTTATCATCTTAATATCTATAAAAACAAACAAATGTAACAAAGAAGCACAAAAAGGCATACATCAAATTATACAACCTCATTTTGCTTTTTTATATTATTTTTTATATGAAGCCAATTTGGAAAAACTGTCTAACTGTTATGTCTTTTATTTTTTGCTTCGTTTTCAATATAAACGATGACAAGTAATAAATTAACAAATCAGTGCAAATTCAGACGCATTTTGTTATGAAATTCAATATACATAACTCCCTTTTAGCCGGAGATTTAATGTTTGTACAATTTTATTTTATTTGCAGGAAAAGATGTGCATAAAAAAAATGAAAACAATCATTGTAATAAAGTATCCATGAGCAAAAGAAATTGAAGCATTAATTCAAATGGGAACTTCAAATTCAGTAAGGCATTAACTACTTTTTGAGTTATAATCCATGTTGACTGCTGATTCTGGTTTCTGGAACTCGACAAACAAAGAGTATCAACTAAAGCAAACGGAATTCTAGGTCTAAAATGCTCTTCAACTTAGAAAATTACTCAAACGTTTTTCTTTTATTCGAGCATCATTGATGCGTCTTTTGTAGACGAAATGACGACGGGGATTGGTTTTAACTATGACTACCCATGATGGTATTGATCGGTCGTTAGACGAAATGCAGTCTAATGTAGACAAGTTAAATTGTTGTATCTCAGATACGTTTTGATTGCCTTTTCTTTACTTTCTTCTAGTAAAATGTCCATCTGAAGATATCTGGTTAAATATTTGTTATTCTTCCTTCTGTGTCAATCAATTAAAAACACATTACCGATATTCAGTGGTTTATTGTTTGGTTATAGAGGTGACACAGTCAATTGTATGTGGATGACATGACTTTTCCTTTATATAAACGGAATCGCTTTGTACTAAAAAGTAAAATCACAAAAGTACTGAACTCCGAGGAAAATTCAAAACGGAAAGTCCCTAATTAAATGGAAAAATCAAAATCTGAAACACACCAAACGAATGGATAACAACTGTCATATTCCTGACTTGGTACAGGCATTTTCTTATGTAGAAAATGGTGAATTGAACCTGGTTTTTTAGCCAGCTAAACCTCTCACTTGTATGACAGTCGCATCAAATTACATTATATTGACAACGATGTGTGAAGAAAACAAACAGACACAATAGGTAAAAATGTCGCAAATAGGGGTACAACAACAACACGAACCCACCAAAAACTGGGGATGATCTCAGGTGCTCCGGAAGGGTAAGAAGATCCTGCTTCACATGTGGCACCCGTCGTGTTGCTCATTTTATTACAAAGCCAGTACGTAGAGTCTAATTCGGTATGTCACATTCGTGAAAAGGGAACGGGATTGTAGTTACGACATAAGAAACATATCCAATTTATCTGTGAAACAGATATTCCATAACGATCAACCAACTCGTGATGGCGTCCGTAAAATTTACGAAATGATGATTTCAACTTCATCATTTGGAACTCTTGATTTAAAAATGAAAATGTCACAATTGGGAAGCTTAGATCATCTCTTCTGTCGTAAAGTTTGGTTTTTAACCGACCCTCATTGTCAATTTCTAGATGTAAATCCTAATCAAATGGCAAAAATTTCAAAATGTCAAAAGCTCAAACACATCAAACGAATGGATAACAACTGTCATATTCCTGACTTGGTACAGGCATTTTCCTATGTAAATATATATTAAGTAATCAATAATCTAAGTAAGTATCAATTAAATAAAAGTATTTCAGAGCATTATGTAATCTCTGTTAATTTGAAAATAATGAAAAAATGTTTTGAATATTCAAAATGATTAATTTAATTGCAATTTTCAGAAAAAGACCGATGCGGCAAATGCAACTGTAAAAGAACAACGCAAATTGTCAGATGCGGCGATACTAGACGTGAGTATTCGCAAGAAATTACATGTTGTTGTTCTGCTATCTGTATATGCACCAATCATCAATCAACTGCATTTTCTTTTCCAATTTTTACAACATCGAAACCATATCTTGTCTTAGCAATTTTTCGTGTTTTTAAATATCGAATTCATTTAGTCAAGTTTTTTTTTTATAATATATTATGAGTTTGACAATTTGATTTCAAATAATGATTGTATAATGTTTCGACTTGCATTTCCCATTTACGAATAAAAACAAAGTCATTAAAATCAGGTGGAATACTGATCTTATTTTTTAAAATTTAGGGTTTACTCTGTATTATAATAAATATGCAATTAATCCATTACACTTACAGAGTATCTTAAGTCAAGGTGTTGTCATTTGATTTCAATGATATATATACACGGTACGAATTGTCATAATATCATATACGTTGACTTGCCAAACGAAATCCACTTTAATACAACTTAATATACAGCATTTTACTACGAGCGTAGCTATTTTATATTGTTGGTTTTAAGATATTTCAGTACATAACTTATGATTGCCACGTCATTTGCTTGTAGCACCATGAGCAGCAACGACATGACCCCACACAATTAAAAAACAGCCCGTGGTAGTTACAAATCAAAACCACCATCAAACGACAGGCATCGTACTGGTTTGTTCCTCAAGTTTTCTTGAAATGTCAACTGACTTGAATGCATTGTAAATGCACTTTCTTCCTAAAACTCTTACCGAATGATGAACCCAGTAACAAGAATCGAATGTATGTTTTTATTTAATAGTTGTAAAGTAATTTTACGGTACATGCATATGCATTATTTAATTAATTGAAGCTGGAATGTGGTTCAATTCCTAAGTATATACATGTAGCATATATATTAATTAAATAGTATTTTTGTCTAAATCAGTCCTGCAGAAGCAACGGAAGCAAGACGGCACATCATTAAATAATGCACCAAAACCGTCGGTGGTATTTACCAGTGAACATCGTTTTGGAAAAGCAAGCACTCTGAAGGTATGTTGTTATTTCACATAAACAAACAATATATAATGTTGTCTTAATGTTGCTTGATTACACTTATTATAGCATTGTGCGAATGTAGCATATGATGCTATTATCAAGTGTGAAGTATCACATGCTTTTAGTCCGAGTATGCTGACTTATGATATGATATGTGCATGTATCTTCGAATGTTTTGTCAATTTATTATGACTGACAGCCTAGACTTGAGTGGATAATACCGAATTGTTTACACTTTCGGAAAACGTAACTTGTATGAAAGAAAGACGAGATATATCTGGAGTTAACGTATTCAAAGTCATTTGAACATTGTGTTTGAACCCATTGGAAACTTTTCATATCACATTGAGAGTTGACTAATTTAACTAATTCAATACAACAAAAAAGCCTTTTTAACGCCGGTACATTAAAATATATACCTTGATTGAACAGAGCTGCCATTTGTAAGTACTCCTTTTGGTCGACAGCTGGAATACAGAAAACACACTATTTACATGAGGAAGTCAACGTATAAATCAGTTTACAATATATTTAACGTTTCATTAGCCTCTTATTGTCAAGAAACAGTTATCGGACTATTCAGCAAACGAGATTGAGATACGTTAAAAACCAATAATTAAGACCGACAATCGTACAGGCGTTAGCATATGGTTATGTTGATAAAGGACTTTTATTTGTAGACAAAACAAATAAAGAAAGACATAATTGCTGCCATTGAAATTGGATACACCCATTCAGGATATGTCTTTTGTTTGGGTAAAAAGTATGCTCTGGAGGGAGAAGGTCTTTATTGTCCAAACTGGGAAGCAAAAACCAATGGGGTAGTTACCTTTAAAACTTCAACGGCGATTTTGTTCCGACCTGATAAATCTATCCATAGTATAGGTTACGAAGCAGAGGAACATGTCAGCAGAATTAAAGGTGAATCAGATTCTGGAAAATGGTTCTTTTTTAAAAACTTCATGATGGAGTTTAACAATCTTAAGGTAAAAATAAGTAATATATGTGAGTTTATAAATAGAAATACTAGCTAAAGAATATATGTTTTAAAATAAACTTTTGCTTTGGTAGACAGTCTAGTAAATCTACGCAGAATGTATTTCTAGCTTATTTTACTCAATTCAATTTTGAACTTGACATACGTATTAATACTTGTTTCGGATATAGTAACAATAATATATTCTAGTTTTGTCAATTTTATGTTGGGGTGGATGTTTCTTGTAGCATACCAGACATCGTTTTTTATTCATATTCATATGATGCCATTAGCTGACTCTGTAGCAGTGAAAAACAGCGTACACTGTAACATTGTAAAATTTTCAACTATAAAAAATTGTTTATCCCGCACAATAATGCATGATCAGATTACGGAATAGTTTGCGTGTAAATACTTTTCACTTGGGCTTTTATCGGCTCTTTGGTCGGGTTGTTGTCTCTGACATATTCCCCATTTCCATTCTCAATTTTATTTTCAACCAGTCTTGTTCCTATGTATGCGATAATACATACTGAGTTCACATTAATTCAACTTAGTTTTAGTATGTTAATAAAAAAAAACTGTTTAATTTCTGCCGGACATTTAGTGACAAAGTTTATAAGTGTATTAAAACTATTCTACTTTATACTACTTTGAATTAGATCTAGAGGCTTGATGAGATTTTTCGCCTGCAGGAATTAATGGAGAGGATGTATGTCCCTCTATTCACTGAAACACAAGTGTTTCGTCTTTAACGTCACTAAAACTTATAATTAACAAAACGAGGTGATCAAACTTCCATAAAACGCATGCAAAGGTTGGCTGTGCTGCAGAAATATTGAATACCTGAACAGCACTCATCAGACAATCAAACCCGTTGCCCACGTGGCGTTTCCCTTTTGATTCATGTGATATACATACAAAGCCCTGTCTACCTTGAATGGAGACATTAACCTCGATGACTCGTGCTACGCTTTCTAAATAAAGAAGAACTGCAGGTTTCCATACATGGTTTCTTTGTAGGAAAAAATCTGAACGGCGTCAACACATACTCATAAACAATGGTAGTTCCAGTCCCAACTCCTTTAATTTTTTAGTCGCTCCATTGATATTGTCTCTCTATTTTAAGGGTGCAGCTGTTGAAGATTTCAAGATAAAAGATTTCTGCAAAAATAATGTTACAATGAAAGCGGTCGATGTAATATCTAGCTTTATTAGTCAAATGAAAGACAAACTGATAAATGAATTATCAAGACAGCAATTGAGGTATAAAGACAATGATATACAGTGGATGTTAACAACACAGGGGAATTTGGAACCCTCACAACTCCAACTTATGAACACCGCCGTTATAAAGGTAATAATTGTATGTATCTAGCTTTTGAAATTGCAAAAATAAAATCCTTTCATCTTTAAGTTGCTTTTCAGTTGGAAAGTCCTTGGAAACGTCTGTTGTCGTCAAGCTCTATTAGCAACAATAGCAGGGGGAATTAATTAGATGGCTCTACAGTCGTCGGTGACGTCAAAAAGTCCGCGAAATAGATCGACTAAAATATCGACGTTTAAACTAATTTTTACAACTTGTCATGCTTTTATTATAATTGATTTTTAAAGTTCGTAGATTTTGTGAACAAAATAGTTTCAATATGAAATTGAAACATTGTCGAAAATAACTTGTATTTGCTATTACTTTATCCTGTCCGTTCTAAAAATTATCAGCCATTTTTTTTTGTTCGCCAAAAACATCGAATTTATATAACTTGACGTTTGCGTATCCAAATACGGAATAGAACGGTAAAAATCTTAAATGAAACCGGGTAACCTATTTCAAATTTCTTCACACCTATGAAGCCATCATTTGTTACTCTAATACAACAATTTTAGTGACCACCAGTCATGTCAATTTGTAGCTGGTTTTGGCTGATTTTCTAGTTCAAAACAGTGAATGTTCAGCTTCTTTTTATTGTACCTGTTTCCAAAGTACTCTAAAATACTGATTTTATTAGAGATATGAATGAAATTGTAATTAAGAATTGTTGTTTTTCACAATTCCATACGATATCTCCATTTCAAAGTGACTAAAACCCTTCTTGATCCCCTACACAAATTGACGGTGACATTGTTTTCTTTTTTCAATATACGTCATATATAACGTTAACAAAATATGTGTCAGGGTCATGTGCATAGTGAAAATTTACACATTGGAAAAGTGAAACAAAGATCATCTTTATTGTGTTTGAAACTGTACGTCTTAGAAAATTTCTTTTTATACTGGAAACAAATCTGACATATCAATAAATGGACAAAAACACACACAAAATAGCAAGGGAAGATGCCTTGCAAAATTTCTGGAGGAAAAAAACATATGAAAAAGGAAATGAAGGTCAGTCAGTTATACTTATTAGTTAAAAACCTTGCTTATTTGATTATCTCTGACTTTATTAAATAAGCTACAGTAGTAAGTGCAAAAACTAGCATATCAGGTCAAACAAGAAATTTAATTCATAGAGATGTTTTCTAACAAAATTGAATTTATTCAAATGGCAAATTCTTATCTTTCACAATCATTATAAGTAAAAGGCACAAGATTTGTTTAACCAACTATCATTTGTGATATAAATTTCCAATTATTAATTAGATAAAACATATCCAATACTTTGTTTTAAAATATGTATACCAGCTGATACAGCAACCCGAAGAGTAGAAGCCCCATTTTTTTCCTCAAAAAGTTTACTTTCTTAATCTATATAATGCCCTCATCAATGTGGCAATGGGCTACTAGCTGTGTTTGCTATTCTAATAATTGAATTTTAAAATAATAATCATTTTAAAATTCTAAATTATGTCACTTATCATTTTAAGTTTTATTTTTACAGAAATGTTTGGGTAAAAGATCCTTTTTCTGTAGGATATTTTCTAGGCAGTACTGTACTGTTCAACTAAGAAACATAGGATTGACCTAAAAGGTTTTTTTATTTACATGTAGAAGAAACTATTGTGACTCATGGTCCCACTTTTTAGAAAATAACATTTAAATGATCAGTATTATTTATTATTTTTATTTCAGAAAGAATATTTAAATTATATAAAGTATGTTTTATTGCATTAAACATTGTTAGAAGTATTTAAAAAATTTCTACTAGGAGTGATCCCATATCCCATTATAAAAATTACACAGTAAAATTTCATCAGCCAGAGCTAATTTATATCAATTCAGCTAGGTTTCTGGGTGACATTTCTAAATTTTTACCAATTTTTTGTCTTCTAATTTTTACCACTAATCCTTTTCTGAAAAGTAGGGAAGTATCTCTTCTTAATATTATAATAACATACTTGTAAATCGAATTTCATTTATTTTCTTCTTGCTTTTTGTAAAGTAAACTCTTTTTTATTTTTTTGCTGGGTTTTTATTTTTGACTAGTGATATCAAGGGGAGATAACCAATTGCACAAATCGGCAAACAAAAAAACCTCCGCTTCGTGTTGAAAATAACTTGACGTTTGCGTATCCAAAACTCTATTGCCTAGATATTCATATCGAGTGTTTGTCTTAATGAGATGCTTTAACAAATTTAAATTAAGCCCATCATTTTTAGTTTCCTCGAAAATACTTAGATTTTTCGATCAAGAGACTTGACAATTTTCACGCAAATTTCAAGCCTGAAGGTTAAATTAAGAAAGAAGGACTTTTAGTTGATGTGTAAGTTTTGTCGAGTGAAAACTATGTATATTCAAGTTTATTTAAATCAATAAGTTTTAATCATGATAGTGGCATTTTATTGAGTAAAAATGAGGTTTGTCTCAGTCGTTGTTTTACAGAATTTGCACGGTCACGTGACTCTATTGTTGCTGATAGACTTGGGGTCAAACCGTGACCTGCTTTCCAACTGTTTTGTGGAATGATTCATAGATTTAACTACTACGTCATAAACAGTAGTATTCTTTAGCGCTGGTACTCCAGACGATGTTTAAATCCATTCACATTTCTTAAAAATGCGATGAGAACAATTACAAACAAGTTAGGTAATCTTTTTTTATTATCTCGCGGTATACATATTTCATATAAAATAAAACATACACCAAACGAAGGTACGATATGCGCGCATCATTGTTATTTTAAAACTCTTGTCGAGAGTGTTTCATATATTTTCTATCCCAATTCAATGAGAAAAAAAACAATGATTAAAGATACTTGTTAAAACTCATTATAAATTACAGAAAACAAACTGGAAGTCGTAGGAATAAATGGTAAATTAATCCAATGGAAAGTCGTTGTTATCTAATAAGACACTGAATAGCCAATGGGATTTAAATATTGTAATTTAAGATACTATAAGCATTTTTATGTAGTATTTCACAACACTGTTGCCTGTTTTAAACCAAATTGTAATATTAGCTCAAGTTAAATCGTATCGTAAAATGTGAAAACTATGTTATTGAATAAGGGCAAAATCCCAGTAGAAATACATTGAGCAAACACAAGAAATTAATCGAGTTTGTTCCGAATATATGATTCTATATGATTCCTAATTCGTATAGAGTGGCATTTGGATTACAATTTGAATTTCCGGGTATTTGGTATGATACGTGCCAATGGAATTTTAAAGTAGATGATTATATTACAGGCTGGTATCAAACATGATCAGTTAACTCTTGTACAGGGACCCAAAGCCGAACTTATGTATCATCGAACATTTACAAGTTCACCATCTACATTTGGTGAAGAACAGATTGCACCACTTCCAAAAAACTACAGATCGATATTAATACATTTAGGAGGTCTGTATGATGCTATGTTGTACTAAGCATTATTTGTTTTCATTTCTTGTATCTCGCCTTCAAATATGTACAGTAGCTGTAGTATTTAAAAGTTAGTTTTCAACACATATCTATCTATATTGCTTAGCTTTTTTTATTCAATTTCAGGGGTCGCACCTATATTTGTAAGTTTGTTTTTCTTTGGCACATAACTACATCTATTTAAATACTTTTATAACTAATTGATATACCTAGACTCTATCACTTTTATATATTCATATAAAGAGTACATGCACTTTGATGGTAAAAAATGACAAACTTCGTACCCCGGGAAAAATTGATAATGCAGATTTGTACACAAATATGGGTACTTGAGAGGTTGTTAATAAGAGCAATTTAAAAATTGTATGAACAATGGTGTAACATCTTGATAAAAATGAATTCAACACCATTCACCGGAGCGGTTTACAATGGTTTAGTTCATATTTTTCCTTCTTATTTCAGGTGTAGCAATTAATTTGACTGTGGTAGAAGTAAATGAGAACAAAACAAAATTCCTTGAGACAATTTTCAATACAAGGGAAAGTGCAAAACAAGAGTTCCTAAGATTCCTAACGCGATTATTTGGAGGGGACGTTTTGACGTATTTAAGAGAGTATCATCCATTGGACTATTCTGAACTTCTACATAATTTTGAAAAGAAACTGAAATATTTCAAGTCAGATAAAATAGTAACTGTTCGTGTTCCTCCTAAATGGTATGATGCATATGAAGAATTTACAGGTGACACACTGACTAATTCAATAAACCAAACAACATTCAGAGAAGCAGTGTCATTTCAGAATGATAAAATAAGGATAAACCCAGAGTTGTTCCGCAAGTTTTACGAAGATGCTACGGAATGTACTGTTGAAGTGGTAGAAAAAACCTTAGCAAAGCATTCAGCATTAGGAAAAAATACATTAGAACAGCGGCCAGGAATCGGCATTTTATTTATAGCAGGTGACCATGTAGACCAAGTGTTTGTAAGTTCATTGAGGGCACGATATCCGGCTCATAGAATTATTGTTTCCAAGAATCCAGAACTTGTTGTTCTGAAAGGAGCTGTTCTGTGTGAGATAGTAGAATAAACGTTAACTGTATGGAATTAATTAAAAAAAATAGATGAGCATTGTGTTTATTCAGTTCTTTTTCCCCTTAAAAGACGGATAATGACCTTTAGAGATTGTACTTTTCGTATCAATTATTTATCAATTTTTAAAGACCTATTCGAAAATTCACATCATATTCTCTTTCTTTTGAAAGATAATCTATTTCTATATCATTGAGTAATCTAGTAAACATTCTAGCGTCCTCCTTTTATATATTGAATCTATGGAAAATGGATATATTTATAATATCAAAGGGGGCAACCAAAAGTATTATCAATCAAAAATGGAAAATTACAATCAAACTGGACACATACTCATAACAAACGAAGAGTAACGGCAACATTCTCAATTGGTACCTGGGGAAGTGTTTGAGTCAATTTATAAACTATGGCATTAAACTACTGTAACAAATACTTCTGTTACCTGAAATCATGGAAACTAATTATATAAATCAAATTTAACATGAACATGTTAACAATATTGGTAAAATCTAAGTCTTCAGTTTATAGAGTGAAGAATATATCTAACAGGACGAAGTCCTCATTTCAATAGAAAACATAAATTATTTTATAGATATATTTAAGGATACGTCTTGAGTATTTATGTATTTATATATTAAACAGGAAATTTTCATCATCCTTGTTTTCATGCCAATACCAAAGTACAGAGCTAGCAAACAAATCAGCATACCCATCACCAGGTTTTCAGACCAAAAAAAAACATATACTAGTATACATTAGAAAACAAAGGATATGGTATCCATCCATGACAGAAAATAAGTACGCGTACAGCCAAAAAACACAAAAAAAGCAAAGGAACGGCACTTTTATTTCTGTTCTTCATCTGAAATTTACAGTGATGCCTTCGACACGGAACCAAAAAACTCTCACCTGACTGCAAGGTAAAAACTGTCCCTTTTACGCTTTGAGTGGAATTCTTTGCGAAATAATTTGAATATACTTTAGACGATATAACACTTCCAAATGCGTCGTTTTCAAAAAGAACATACTGGAAAGTGGTATATATTTAAGACCAAATTGTTCCTACGCATAAGGTTGTATTGCAAAACTCTTGATTTAAAAGAAAAATATCTATTATAGAATATTTGTAAAAGTGACGTTAGACATCAAAATTAGCAAATTTGATCTGATAACTTGTAAACACACATTAATATTCACTGTTTTATAATATTGAGAAATAACTGTTTGTCTTTGATTGCATTTAATCAGTTTCATACCTTTGTACACAAAGATAAGTGTTCGGTTCAACAGTGATTATAATTTCAAAAACACATTAGCTATACGGTATTATATATTGAATATCTTGTCGGACGACATGTTGCAAAACAAAGTTTACAAAATCCCCCTCCCCTCCCCCCTCCCCCCCCCAAAAAAAACAAAAAACAAAAAAAACACAGAAGAAGAAAATAATTATATGAATAATAAAAATTGAAAATAACTTATAATTAGAACAAATTCTAAAAGTCTTTTATAGACGCGTTAAAAGAACTACTAATAATCATAACAATTTCTAACGAACTTTCCACGGAAAGGTGAAAGGCCTCAAAAATACAAGAAACAAGGACACTTTATGTCAACCCTTAAACGACCTAACCTGACTTATTTATTATCCACTTTGATTTTTAACAATGGCTTAACAATTCATTACAATAACGCCAGAAGGTCTGAATAACTAAAAACAATTTAGTTCAATGATCTTTGTTGATTCTGATAATTGGTAATAGCAAAATAACATTAAATATATTATTATATAGTAAAGAGAATTGAAACAGGCAATGTGTCGAAGAGACATCAACCTAACCAAAGGCGTAGAAAACAGCCGAAAAAAAACACCAATTGGTCTTTAACGCAGCGACAACATACCGTACCCACAGGCGGGTTTCAGCTTGCCTTCAAGGAATAATGTATACTAGTTCAGCGAAATGGACACCATATTAAACTCCGTAACATACAAATGATTAAAACTTTAAAAAAAACACACCCAAAACAAAGGCTAGAGGTTCCTGGCAGGCGCAATAATGCGGAGGTTCAAACATGTTTTGTGAGAACAATTGCAAACAAGTTATGTAATCTTTTTTATTATCTCGCGGTATACATATTTCATATAAAATTAAAAACCAATTGTTCAGAGAACAATTGAAGGTCTTTCCACTCATAAAGATCTATTTTGAAATAGAACTATTAAAATTTGGTTTAAAATATCATATTCAGCGTTTAATGATAGTTTATTGTATCCTGATTCCAAAATTACATGATTTCTATACATTTTTTTCAAAATAAGGGAGATAAATTGTTACTTCCGGTTTGAAAGATGTCACTTCCGGTTTTATTTGATAGTTTACTTGATACTGATTCCAAAAATATATGGTTTAATATACTTTTACATTAAATAAGTACAAAAAATAGCTACTTCCGGTTTACACAAGGTCACTTCCGGTTGGCTTTTCCATGGTCAAGTGGCTTGCAACGTAATGCAAAAAGTCCTATGGCTTTATCACGTATACTAACGAGGAAAAAGCAAAGGTCAAAATCTAGAACGTCGTATTTACTTATGACCTTTAGCTCAATTTCAAGGTCATAAACCGAGGGCTTCAAATCAAAAGACCATAGGTCTTAATTATATATGGTTAATGAGTTATATCACTTTACGCCTAATTTTTAACATAAGAGGGGAGAAAACTCCAATTTAATGTTAGCGTACCATTTCAACCAAAATTTATGTGTTACGACATGTCGCAACTTACAATTTAGTAAAAATATCTTGTCGATATCTTATACGGTTTTTGAAAAGAAGTGAAAATAAGTCAAAATCAAATTTAAAATATGACCTTGACCTTATTTTCTTTTTTTTTGGATCAAGGACCTCAAATCAAAAGATCCTAGGTCTCTATCATTTATGGTTTACAAGATAGAAATGCATATCACTAATAACAAACGCATAAGATTAAATAACTCTCATATGGAGTGTTCATATCGCTTCGGTCAAATAGGACAAATCATGCGAAGGATATAACGAGCAATTTTATAAAATAAATTTGTCGCTTTCTTTTACGGTTACAGAGGAGATGCAGTCACAAGGAAAACAGTGTTCGGGGGGATAACTCCTACAAAGAAAAGTTTTGGGTTACGCAGGGTGAATTTCAAAGGCGCATAAACTGTTCGATATCATATACCAAACATCTAAGCGACATCTTGCGAAACAAAATTTATACGCAAGAAATAAAAGTGGCGGAAGAAGAAAAAAAAATAATAGTCAGAACAAATACAATAGGTCTTTCCACCGAAAAGTGGAAAGACCTAATAAAACATACACCAAACGAAGGTACGATATGCGCGCATCATTGTTATTTTAAAACTCTTGTCGAGAGTGTTTCATATATTATTTTCTATCCCAATTCGTTGAGAAAAAAAAACAATGATTAAATATACTTGTTAAAACTCATTAGAAATTACAGAAAACAAACAGGAAGTCATAGGAATAAACGGTAAATTAATGCAATGGAAAGTCGTTGTTATCTAATAAGACACTGAATAGCCAATGGGATTTAAATATTGTAATTTAAGATACTATAAGCATTGTTATGTAGTATTTCACAACACTGTTGCCTTTTTTAAACCAAATTGTAATATTAGCTCAAGTAAAATCGTATCGTAAAATGTGAGAACTATGTTATTGAAGAGGGACGAAAGATACCAGAGGGACAGTCAAACTCATAGATCGAAAACAAACTGACAACGCCATGGCCAAAAATAAAAAGACAAATAATAGTACAGATGACACAACATAGATTACTAAAGACTAAGCAACACGAACCCCACCGAAAACTGGGGGTGATCTCAGGTGCTCCGGAAGGGTAAGCAGATCCTGCTCCACATGTGGCACCCGTCGTGTTGCTTATGTTATTACAAATCCGGTAAATAGTCTAATTCGGTATGTCACATTCGTGAAAAGGGAAGGGTATTGTAGTTACGACATAAGGAACATATCCAATATCATCTGTGAAACGGTTATTCCATAACGGTCAACCAACTCGTGATGGCGTCCGTAAAATTTACGAAGGGACGATTTCAACTTCTCTTTATTGAATAAGGGCAAAATCCCAGTAGAAATACATTCAGCAAACACAAGAAATTAATCGAGTTTGTTCCGAATATATGATTCTATATGATTCCTAATTCGTATAGAATGGCATTTGGATTACAATTTGAATTTCCGGGTATTTGGTATGATACGTGCCAATGGAATTTTAAAGTAGATGATTATATTACAGGCTGGTATCAAACATGATCAGTTAACTCTTGTACAGGGACCCAAAGCCGAACTTATGTATCATCGAACATTTACAAGTTCACCATCTACATTTGGTGAAGAACAGATTGCACCACTTCCAAAAAACTACAGATCGATATTAATACATTTAGGAGGTCTGTATGATGCTATGTTGTACTAAGCATTATTTGTTTTCATTTCTTATATCTTGTCTTCAAATATGTACAGTAGCTGTAGTATATAAAAGTTAGTTTTCAACACATATCTATCTATATCGCTTAGCTTTTTTTATTCAATTTCAGGGGTCGCACCTCTATTTGTAAGTTTGTTTTTCTTTGGCACATAACTACATCTATTTAAATACTTTTATAACTAATTTATATAAAGAGTAGATGCATTTTGATGGTAAAAAATGACAAACTTTGTACCCCGGAAAAAATTGATAATGCAGATTTGTACACAAATATGGGTACTTGAGAGGTTGTTAATAAGAGCAATTTAAAAATTGTATGAACAATGGTGTAACATCTTGATAAAAATGAATTCAACACCATTCACCGGAGCGGTTTAGTTCATATTTGTCCTTCTTATTTCAGGTGTAGCAATTAATTTGACTGTGGTAGAAGTAAATGAGAACAAAACAAAAATCCTTGAGACAATTTTCAATACAAAGGAAAGTGCAAAACAAGAGTTCCTAAGATTCCTAACGCGATTATTTGGAGGGGACGTTTTGACGTATTTAAGAGAGTATCATCCATTGGACTATTCTGAACTTCTACATAATTTTGAAAAAAAACTGAAATATTTCAAGTCAGATAAAATAGTAACTGTTCGTGTTCCTCCTAAATGGTATGATGCATATGAAGAATTTACAGTTGACACACTGACTAATTCAATAAACCAAACAACATTCAGAGAAGCAGTGTCATTTCAGAATGATAAAATAAGGATAAGTCCAGAATTTTTCTGAAAGTTTAACGAAAATGCTACAGAATTTATTATGGAAGGGGTGGAAAAAACTTTAGAAAAACAGCCAACATTAGAAATCGGCATTGTATTTATAGCAGGTGACCATGTAGACCACGTGTTTGTAAATACATTGAAGGAACGATATCCGGATCTTAGGGTTATTGTTTCAATGAATCCAGAACTTGTTGTACTGAAAGGATCTGTTTTATATGAGATCATGGAATAACAAAAGTCTTCTGAAATCAATAAATACGATAAAGACAAACGTTACTTTTATTCATTTTAAAACTAAGAAGGTTTAGGCTATTACGATTGTCAATGAAACAACTTGCAAGCAGACCCCAAATAACTTAGAAGTAAGAATAGAGGTAACCGTA